AAACAATACCCTAATCAAGGAACTACCAAGGAGAAAACCACACCCCCATCAACATTGGCATGGCAAGCTACTGTATATAAAAACAGGGAGCAAACCCCACACTCACTTGCACTGATGATGTTACCTAGTTGGGTAATGAAACATCTGCAAGCATGCAGCCGAGCTCAGAGAGCACCAAGGACTCCACAGCACTAGAAGACTCAGGCAATATTTGCCCATGAACACATTAACATGTAGTTTAAACTGGAGGTGGGGGTGGGAGACCTCTTAATGGCCACAGGTTGCAATGTGGGTGAATTGCATCACACATGTGGGTGAGAATGGGCTGAGCGGGGGGGCGACTTGGCGGTATTTTTGTAATTTGCCTATTTTGGAGCGTGGACCTCAGTTTGCAGTGTTCCCTACCTCAAAATGGCAGAAATGGTGCCATCGGTTTTTATCAAAAATGATCAGAGGGGACTCCAAGACCTGCAAAATGGGGCTTTGAAGGCCCCTCCCCCAATATAAAGTATTCTCTATGCACTGCAAATAATCAGCTTCTCCTGCTTTAAGTTGCCACAGAATTAGGGTGTACAATATTGCACTTCCCACCCGCCCCTCCCATTTGGGGGAACTGTGTTCATGAGACAGCTCAGGCCTGATAAATGTTTGGTAACTTCGGTGGAGGTGCTTTAATTTTAGGAGAGATGGTGAGAAATCAGAATTTATAAATAGCTGTTTATGTCTGGTTTCACCCAGACTGATACTTAAATTAGTAGGTTTGCAGCCAGAGATTCAACGATACAGCTAATGGTAACTGGCTTTACTGTAGATACTAGAAAAGACATTATTAGAACAGAAAACCAGCCAAGTCAAACAATCAGACTCAAGCTTCACAAATCTAATGTCTTTTTCTCCTGCATCCTAACAGCCGTAGAGAGGTGACTGGAAGGAGCAGGTGATATCTGTGCGTTGTTATTGTACGGACTCGTGGGCATCCATAGGAGGGGTGGAGGTGAGGAATGTCACGCAAATCATCACATCATCATACAAATGATACGACTTGTGCAATTTATCCGACATAGTTGTGGCTGCTAATGAATCCCTATGAATGGGTGACGCAGGGTATCACTGGGGCTTCTATCAGACATCTGCAGGAGATATCTGCCCGCTTCACAAGGCCATTTAGGGTGGACATGCTACAGGTCCTTTC